GAGCGCTGCACTAGTATCGCAGAGCTCAGTGGTTCGAATCCCGTACAGGCCTGATTTTTTTCAGGTCTGATTTTCGCTATTGCTTAAATAGCGCTGTATACTGCGAGGATCGTGCGTCATACGTAATACCTTTGCTTCTGATTCATTGAAACTGTGCTCATCAGTTTGGTCGGAATTCACTTGTTTTGCTTCGTACTGATATTTCTTTGGAAGGCTGTGGCTCTGAGAGTATAGGTCAAACCCATCTGGTAGCTCGTAAATTGGTGGAAACTTTAGTTGACCATCTTCGATCCTCATCCTCATGGGGTAGTTTTCTAAAAATTCTGCGCTCTTCTTCCGCTTGAGGTGGCGTTGTTTTCAGAAACATTGGAACTTAAACAAGAAAGAGGTGGGGTCAGGTTACGACCGTTTTCGTTTTTCATAGTTACATGCATGCAATTTTTTCATGTTTCTTCGACATGAAGCTTTTAACAACTAGTGGGGTTTAATCCCATGAATAGGTCAAAAGGCTGCCGGAGACGACCTCTCGTTCAAACGAAAACTGAGCGAGCGCAAGACGGCCTAACGGTTAAACTAACGAGGAAGTCCTCTGTGACTCTCCTCAGTCCCCCTTGTTTTCCCTCTCGCATACCCCAATTTCTTGTCTGTCCCTTCGAATTCAACCAGGAAGCCTTGAAGAGGCTGATTAATCAATCCTATTAATTTTTAGTTAAATACCAGTATTCCTTACAAAATAGCCTAAAGCTGACACTTAAATTACACGAGACTTAAAATTGAACTGACAACCAAGTGAAGTGATAAACAAACATTCCCAAGATACAACGTTTGTCCATTGGCAAAATGAGTTCAGTAGAAATTTACCCGTACGACTAACTCCCTACAAACTCTTCCCGAATTGCCTTATTGCCATCAGCTTAATTGATTTCACAGTACTCTCTCAGCTTTTCAGTAGGAATGGGTTTGATTGTTACAAACTTTCCTGGACCAACTACATCTGAAAAATAAAACACTGCTATTGTAAAAAATGACTAATACATTATGGGACTCTAAGATGTAAGTTTCTGTAGATGAAGTTTCGAGCGTTAGCCCTTCGTCAGCATTTTTTTTCTTCACAGAATGAAATGGCTAGGATATTGTTTGTTTTACGTAATTTTACACCGACTTCAGGAATCCTGAAGAAACTACATTAGGATGCCACAATGCTTTGCGCCCCAAGCTAAAAACAACTTAAGTAAAATCGACATATTCAGTGCCCTCGTTTTCCAACTCCGTCACATTATTTCCCCACGGCAGCGGCTTATTGAAGAAATACAAAAAACGCTGAGTTGCAGCCTATAAAAGTGGAAGTGTACCGTTTATACGTTGGGTTCGTGCCTTATTTGTGCCGGGGATTATTTTTCCCCTAGTCGAAGGCCCTAATGTTGCGACTGAAAAAGCGCATGTAGCTCACGTAGGCGCATGACCTTGGAACATATTCAGCTTTGTGTACCGTGCTCACGGATGAAATTCCAGCTAGGCGGTTTGAAACGTACGTTCTCCCACCAAAAGATAAGATAACCGGACGTCAACGACTTCTTCTTTCCGGGAGGGGGGGGGGGAAACTGATTGAAAATGTTTTTGGAGGGCGGATGACATGGCTGTCAGTGGGAACGGAGGAAAAATCAGTCATTGCCAACTGATTATAGGAAATTGACCGCCAATTTACTACCAAAGAGGGGATCATACGAATATTACAGAGACTTATATTTATTACTTGGGATCGGATGAATTTTATCGTGACACAACCAAAATCCTTCAAAACCCCTCCCTCCCCCTCAGGTTACGAAAAATGACCATTCCCTAGGATGAACCTAAAAAAATGAAAACGATTTTTTGGTACACTAAAACATTCCAATAAATGGAATGGAAAACAAAAGGAGAGCAACCTATTTGATTACAATTCAGTAAACTATCATTAGCGTCGAAAAAAGAGATCGAGGGCATAGAGATCTTAGTCTATCAATGACGAAAAACAGTGATGTGGCTGAAGAAGATTGTTATGACCATGAAAAGCATTGGTTTAAGGACTCAGAATCACAAAAAAGTTTGAAGCTAGCATGCAGTTTTCACGTTAACTAAGTTTTAGAGAAGTAGTTATTTTATGGCCACGACCTAAATTGCGTTACTTGGACTTGCTATGGCCTGTTTAAAACCAAATGAAAACTCTTATATACTCTTCTAACGATCCGTGGCAGTTCCCGTCTAGAATTTATTTTAAATTTCTACTTTCAAAAGAACTCAAAACAACAGTAACGAAGTAGAGTTTGCTTTAATTTTAACATATGTTGGCCAACGAAAAGTAACTGTTTCCATGGAATTTAAAAACCGTTTAACTGCACACATTTTAAGATTTCCGGAAATTTTAAACGACTAAGACTGTAGGTCAGGCTCTCCAGCAACAAGATCTTAAGTTCACAGAGAGAAATGATGAGACGTTGTCGGTTTTGAAGATCAACAGGAACTTGGATTCCTTTCAAACCGATTACGTCAGTGTCATGTACCTCTGTTCGGTTCTTACGTCAACGTTATGTTCTTAAATTCTACGACATAAGTGCAGCCGACAGTCTTCTACAGTGTCTTTATGGTGTAGAACTGGGCTATCACAGCGGAGTCAGCAACCGTCAAAGACAGCGCAGTTTTGGTATGCATCTTACAAATTTTACGCACTTTTAAAAACAACCAGCCAGAGGGAGGATCGGTGATTTTCGCCGTTAAAGTGTCACTTATTTTCTTCCAAACGTGCGGTTCAAACAGTTAAAATATTTATTGACGTGTGCATCGTGTGCATTCTTGTTTACCTCAAGCTACGAGCTAGTGGGTTTTATTACAAGCTTATGGCTTTCGCTTTTGGGGTTTTGGCTATTTTTGGAGAGGTTTTTCGGTCTTTGTGCTAAAAAAAACTTTGGTTTTTCGGTTTTGGTGTTATTGCGGTTTGTGGATTTTCCGTTTTTTAGCATTTAGTCTTCGGTTTTCGTCAAAATTACTTGTGGATTTTCGGATTTGGTACGCGATGAGGTTTTCGGTTTTTCCTGTTTAGTTTCCGGTTTCTCTTCGATCTGAGCAGCAATTACGAACCTTCACTGATCTCCAATAGCCGCGAAACCCTCTGAATGCTCCACTTATCACCACTTTACCGGATCGATTGGGGATTTGATATAACTGAAAGACTTTGATATTTTACAAGCACTTAGAAAAGTCTCAATTTGGCAGTGTTTCGATCAAATTACAAGCTTTGGGGTGTAAATATGTTTGGAAGATGTCTAAAAAGACCCACCCCATTAACTTTCTGATACCGAGAACAGCAACGAATGGTCATAGTAACAACCTTCCATCCGGCGACCACAACAGAAGTATTGTTTGCGCTGATAGGAGTCGTTGCCGGACCCAGCGTTCTGGTTCCTTTATCTCTTTCAATAGTGAATATGCAAACATGTAAATAGTTGATCAAGATATTTCTATTGTTCTTATAGTAATTATAGTTTTAATTAATAATTTATTGCAAATTTAGCCCTTTAATTCAGTTAATTCTGCAATGTGGTAATAAACGGTATATTATCATTACTATTATTATTATCATTCTTATTATTATTATTCATAACCCGTTCACAAAGCTAACGAGAAAAACAGTTAATCAAAAAACCTCTGTTTTTTCGTCCGCAAAATCGCTCCCGATTATTCTGTGTTGACACGATCGACATTAAGAAATCACAATTTCTGTCCAATCGACCGCGGTCAAATGAAGCACTGGGTCGAGGGCACTTGGATAACAAGACCATTTGCAGAAGGAAGATGTTTCTTCGTCTTAACATTACGACCGTAGCACAAAAAAGAAAACGATTTTGAGTTTCTCTGACAACTTGAACTTCAGACCTTGGAATTTCGCGCTCCAACGCTTTACCACTGAGACATACGGACCCTTGGTGTACAAAGCCATAATAAGGCTCGTCTATGACGCGCCTGAAGGTTCATCTTTCTGATTTTTTTCCTTTATAGTGGAAAAAATCAAGTGAAGGAAGCAAGATGCGGTGCGTGTTCGTCATTTCATGTATCAGTTTGCTGACGGTCTTCACCGAGGGCTTTTGCTTCCTGGGTGGTCTCTTTGAATACAAGTTAAGGGAATCCCGGTTCTTTAGCCACAGGTGCGACAATGCAAACTGGAGGGCGAGCTTAAACAGGACCACATGGTCTGTTTGTCCCAAAACCAACACCTACCTCCGAGGATTTTGGAGGAATGCTTTTAAACCGGGAGACGAAAGAGTTGGAAGACTGAAAGAGGGAAGGTGCTGCGATGCTGTGCAGCCCCAATATGCGGGCCAACCGGCAACATGTTCAAATACAGACTTGTCAGACAGGTTGAATCGGTGAGTTGTTCTCTCATTTCCAGTCTTCTTTGCATCAATTCTTAATGATGTCACGTGGCGTTTCGTGACATCCCAAAGAACGACCCAGGAGGAGATAATGATCCCTTTCTGAATGAAGGCTGGTGTAAAGCTAGAAGAAACAATTCAATTAAATAACTAGGTACGCATCATTTTTATTACCATATTCTAACACTATTTACCTCTAGTGTAATGGTTACATATGGCCCATCCGTGAAAATTTGCAAGTAAATATTATGTTTCGAAGTGTAATCGCCAAAGTTATTAAATTATTATTTTGTTAATAAAAGAGAAAGAAAACCCCTGGGTAGTTCACCTCCTCTCCACTTTTCTACTCGTGTACCTCTAAACTACTGAAACATGTTTTTACGTTTTTCAGGCGGTGGAGTATATACTTTGTCAGCGTTAAGAAATCAATGTTCTGACCATGTCAAAAAAACCTTAGATTATCTTAGAGAAGCAGTCATTGATAAGTCAACTGGCTGAGTCTCCTATCAGCGAAGACGTTTTCATTAACATTTATGCTGATAATTATTCAGACCCAGTTGATCAAAATTATTTTATTTTACTCTTCTTAGGTATAACGTCTGGGCCCTTTGTCCTTCCGGCTATTTCATGAATGGCCTCAGACTTGGTTGTTCTGATCCCGCGTTTTTGAACAACATAGACGAGGCAAAATGTTGCCATCCACAGAATCATCCCAGCAGTTATAAAGACTGTTACGATGAAGATGTTACCATTTCATTTGACAAAAAAGGGTGGAGTGAATGCCAGAGGGACGGTTTTTACATGACCGGTTTCTACAAAAGTGACTGCGATAAGCTCCACTGTATTGCGAAGTTCAGATGTTGCAAGATATAAGATGGTACCATCAGTCTTCTTCTCTAGTTAGGTATCGGTTTTAAATTATCATGATAAAAGAATAAAACACAAAGTGCTTACGATATATCAGTCTGATTTGGGTCAAAGACAACAGCTAAACGACAAATGATTTGTAAAACTCGATATATTTACTGTTCTCGACACTAAGTTGATCCGATTACATCAGATTGCATCATCCCACGATTCAGGGCGGGGTCCCAGTCCAATTCAGTCCTCTCGACGTAGTCCTTTAAAAATATGCTTTAGAATAAATTTTGTCCCTTTCAGAAACTGTTGTTCGTGGCAGACAGAGTGATTGGGAAGACTGGGGAGAATGCAACGCTGTCTGTGGAGACGGAGAACAAGAGCGTAAGCGCACTTGTACCAATCCCGCTCCGTCTATATAGCAGGCTCGGTGTTCAGGACCCAGCAAGGAAACAAGGCCGTGTAACAATGGACCATGCCATGGTAGGCAAATATGATTTAGATGGGTATATTTATCGAGCCAATCAAAGTCTTCATATTTCATCACTGGAAACGACACCATGTGGCGAAAAACAGGTGTGGTAAAAAACAAGGACATATAGAAGGTCTGAAAAGTTGTCAGTGTGACTTCTTTATTTAACATCATTCACTTACGTACCTATGAATGATTCCTTACTTTTCTAATATTTATCACTTCGTACAGAACCTTTCTTATTTTTTTTTCCTAATTTTTATCAGAATCAGAGTGAGGTTGTACAGAGGGTTGGGTTCATTATGGAAACTCTTGCTTCCTCGTCATCGACATTCCAATCAGAGAATGGAAAGAAGCCAGACGAAACTGCCGAAAACTGGGAGGAGAACTCGCTAAAATTACATCCGCCACCCAAAATCAGTTTCTGTTAAACCTTCTTAAGAAGCAGGTGAGGTTTACAAGTCGTGGAGCCTGGATAGGACTGCAGCGAAGAGGATCCAATACGTTTTACTGGACAGACAACACACCGTTGACTGGCTACACGGCATGGAAAGTTGGTGAACCAAACAATGTGTTCGAGAAATGTGTGCACCTGATTGGAAAGAATTGGAGACGGGGTTTTACTCCAGGGAAGTGGAATGATGCTTGTTGCATCCTTCCCAGGTGGATTCATTACGAAGACACACCTGTAGCTCTGTCAGAAAACGCCAAACGAGATGGAAGTATCATCCCGTCTTCGTTAGCATCATGGCGATGAGAGGAAATGTATTTTCCTTGATGGCTTTGTATTCGTAAGCTCTAAGGTTTGCTTTTGAATAAATAAAGTAAAACATCGTATTTTCCGAT